TTGCAGCTTTCCCAGAAGATAACAAATCCTGTGCGAATCCCAGGGTATTTTTCCACTTACGACCGTTCTTGTAGTATCCCGAAACCCCTCTAGGGGGATTGTAATAACTTTGTATCCTCTAATCCAAAAGTCAAATTGTTGCTTATTTTCCAACAGTTTATATCCATATTATAGCAAATTGTAACAAAATTAACCAGCAAGGTCCTCATAACAAAGTCCTCTTTATATTCTCCAGCTTTGACAGCCACTTTGACAGCTGTCAAAGTCTCCGTCTCTCTTCACCAGGCTCCACGAATCGCCCCGGTTCCCAGGGGGGGGGTTGCATTTTTCTTCTCACCCTCCACTCTTCTCCTCCAGCACATTTCTTATAATTTCCCATCGTGAAATTAATGATTTTTATCAGAGACATACTTCCCTTTGGACCTTGGTTACCCAGTCCTTGTTTTGGAATGCTTACAATAGGGGGATTGACTTCCTTTTAAATCGCCCCGCTCGTGCCAAATCCAAAATTTTGAACCCGGTTTCCCAATTACTCACGGGTTGTTGTTAATAGTCCAAATTTTCAATAGAAGAAGTCAGCGCTCTCCGTCGAATGGCATGCGGCTGCGCTCGGCAGGGAAAGCAGTGGACTCAGCACCACGCCACTCCCCGGCACTCCGATCCGAAGCCTTTAAAAAGGCTCCTTCACGAGTCGGGAGGGCGCTAATGGTGCAAGCCGAGTCACCCATGTCCACGGACTCCGTGCCCGTGGTTTTTAAGGGTCCCCGCGTCGCCGGCGCGGTAGGACCCAGCCCCTGCCGAGCAGACTCCCTCCGGAGCTCGGAGGGAGTCCGCCATTCGGCGATGGCGCTAACCCGGAAGCCTAGTTCATTCCCATTTTGCGGATAGACAGACTAAAGATGAGAGGATAGCAAGTAACCCAAGACTGCTCATTGAGTTCTTGGCTGCAATGAGATATGAATGGTGAGTTGCATCCAAGCAAATCTTACCCAGAACCATTGAAATTAATGAGCTTAAAATTAGTCATATCCATAGGATACAATCCTGAGGGGTTCCCGTCTCCAAACTCAGGGATCGCTAGCTAAGTAATACAGCAGCTCATGATGGCATGGGCATTTTGGGGTCCTATATAATTTCTGCTGTATTATACTGCTAGTTTTTTGAGTCTGCATTGTAAGACTAGAATAACACATGCAGATTCGCCTGCCTATATTTATGTTGATAATATATTGTCTTCTGATTAATCAAGTTGGACTCAAGATTATGAGGACATGGACTCACGAGACCAGCAGTGTATTGAAACTAAAAGCTGATAACTGATAAGCAAAAGCAAAGCACAACTCATGGGTGAGTTTAAATAGAAAGTTGAGGGGGAAATGTGGTTTTTTTGGTACAGTGTGACAAATGTCTAAGTGAGGAATCTAGGGGTAAGGCATAATAATTAATAATTTTATTATTTGTACCCCACCCACCTGGCTGAGAACGTTTGTAGGTGGTGTTAATTCCTTTATGTCAGTGATGGCCAAACTTGGCCCTCCAGCTGTTTTGGGACTACAACTCCCATCATCCCTAGCTAACAGGACCAGTGGTCAGGGATGGTGGGAATTGTAGTTCCAAAACAGCTGGAGGGCCAAGTTTGGCCACCACTATGTATTGTTTCTTACTTATTTTTTATTCTGTTATAGCTTAATAGACCTCTGAAATAATTTGATCTATCCCTGCTTGGTTTGGAAAGCGGGAGACTCCAGTCAACTCCAAGTTTGCTTCTTCAAATAGGGTAGAAGGATTGCCATTGGAGGGAATTGGGGGCACATTAAAAAATATTTCATAAAATAAAATTGCTGCAGCATATAGTGAATGATATGGCAGACAAGCAAAGATTTTGGCCGTAGGTTCAGGACGATGAGCTGTGTGGGACATCTCATCGGCCCCCTGTATTGGGGCCTAGAGGAAACCCAGTCATTTCTCCTTTATTACCATAGTCCCCCTTACTTAAAGCTGGCCCTATTACGCCAACCAGGCAGAGGGCCTGGTAAGGTGTGGAGAGGGACGTTCACAGAAACTTCTGAGGTGGCTCTGTTGTCATGGCAACACCTGGCTCAGCAGAGCCCCTCAGAAGCTATAGGACTGCAGAGCACAGAAAGTTCACTGGTTCATAAAGGTGTCACAGTCCGGTTCACGGGTGATCAAAGTCCAGGTGGGGATGTCGGGACCGGGGGCAAGATGGCAAGGTGGGAGCAGGAACGGGAGTCCAGGAGCCAAGAGCCAGGAAGCCAAGGGTCCGAGGGTCAGGAAGCAAGGAGTCATGAAGTCAGGGGTCCGAGGATCAAGAAGCAAGGAGTCACGAAGTCAGGGGTCCGAGGATCAAGAAGCAAGGAGTCAAGGAGCCAAACACAGCAAGGCAGGGAACATGTTGCCGTGGCAAAGAACTGAACAGAAATGCTGATGTTATATCCCTTCCCTGTTCTTGCCACCAGGTGCAATGAGTTACCAATCGGCCTCACCTGTGCAGCCGCGCCTTGCCTTTTCAGAACAAACTTAGGAAGGCCCCAGTCCTGCAAAGTCCTACTGGTCACAGGGCCTGGCTCCTGCAGACAAAAGGACTAGTTCCGGATCAGGTTTAATGTGGCCAAAAAGGAACTGGTTCCAGTTCAAGTTCATCCCTTTGTAAAATGAACTAGTTCGGTTCTATTCACATGGAGGGTGGGGCAAGTTTGTTTTCTCCTGCTCTGGAGGCTGGGACCCAAACCAGTGGCTTCAAGTTACAAGAAAGGAGGATCCGACTAAACATCAGGAAAAACCTTCTGACGCTAAGAGCTGTTCGACAATGGAAGGGATTGTGGCCGACTCTCCATCCTTGGAGGTTGTTAAGCAGAAGCCGGGTGGCCATCTCTCAGGGATTCTTTAGCTGGAGTTGGACTAGATGACCCTCAGGTCCCTTCCAACTCTACGATTCTATGATTCTATCACAGCACTGGAGAAAGAGCCTGAGTTTGCCTCCTGGTCTAAATTCCTATAATTCTCTTTGAAAATTTTGCATTGGCTCTCTGTCCTATAAATCCCATAGGCCCCAGCCAGCATGCCCAGTGGCCAGGGGTGATGAGAACCGACATCTCAGAGCATCCAAAATTCCCATTTCCTTCTCCAAACCAAGCCTCTGCCCTGATTGATACTGAGCCTGCAGGCTGTCAATCAAAGATTGGGCCTAAATTGTTCAGATTTTGCTTTCCACCATCCTAGATATTTCTGCAGAACTCAGGAGTGGTGGCGGCAGCGGCAGTGATAATAATAATAATAATAATAATAATAATAATAATAATTTATTTGTTCCCCGCCCATCTGGCTGGGTTTCCCCAGCCACTCTGGGCGGCTTCCAACAAGGATTAAAAATACATTAAAATGTCACACATTAAAAACTTCCCTGAACAGGGCTGCCTTCAGATGTCTTCTAAATGACAGGTAGTTGTTTATCTCTTTGACATCTGATGGGAGGGCATTCCACAGGGCAGGAGCCACCACTGAGAAGGCCCTCTGCCTGGTTCCCTGTAGCTTTGCTTCTCGCAGTGAGGGAACCGCCAGAAGGCCCTTGGCGCTGGACCTCAGCATCTGGGCTGGATGATGGGGGTGGAGATGCTCCTTCGGGTATACTGGGCCGAGGCCGTTTAGGGCTTTAAAGGTCAACACCAACACTTCCATCTACTCACTTTTAAACTTTCTCCTTCCTCTGATAATTCTCCCTCTGATAACAGCATTTTCGAAGGGTCAAAGGGCAGCATGGGTTGTTCAGAACGGCCCTTTTCTACTACTGCAGCATTTTAATTTTTGTTTCATTTTTTGGCATCTCAGGCCTATAAATACAGTCCCATTTGTCACACTTGCTTACAAATTGCCATGGGATACGTTAACTTGAGGCTTCGCCATTGTTGAAAGAAATAGCTTTCATCATGATAAAAAAATAGAACCCCCTGGATGTATCCAAGGCGCTGCCTGTTAGAAGCTTTTCTTTAAAGTAGTAAAACTGGTGCATGCTCATTTGCCTCTGTTTATCTATTGTTTTATGCCATTTTTTCATGTGCTGATACAAAAATGTGACTCGTGGAAAATTTGAGGAACAGGCTGATGTTACTTAGGGAGCAGATACAAGGAGCTATGAGCTGCTTCTGTGCGATAATTAAGACACCCCCTCTTTGTAGAATTTCAGATACAGTGGACACTTGGGTTGCGAACGTGATCCGTGCAGGAAGCACGTTCACAACCCGCAGCGTTCGCAACCTGCAGCGCTGCGTCTGCACACGCACGGGTTGCAATTCGGCACTTCTGCACATGTGCAAAGCACGACTAAGCACTTCTGTGCATGCGCAAGTGCCAAAACCCAGAAGTAGCCCATTCCGGTACTTCTGGGTTTGGCGCAGTGCGCAACCCGAAATCACACAACCCGAAGTGTCTGCAACCCGAGGTATGACTGTATGTGTAAATTCCTGGACTGACACATGCTGGGAAGTTACAGTTAAAGAACATTAGATGAGCCTGCTGAATCAAGTTGATAGCCCCTCTGGTCAGAGAATCATGGACTGTTGAATTGGAAGGGACCTACAAGGGTCATTGGTGCTGGAGGAGACTCTTGAGAGTCCCATGGACTACAAGAAGATCAATCCTATCCATTCTGAAGGAAATCAGCCCTGAGTGCTCACTGGAAGGACAGATCCTGAAGCTGAGGCTCCAACACTTTGGCCACCTCATGAGAAGAGAAGACTCCGTGGAAAAGACCCTGAGGTTGGGAAAGATGGAGGGCACAAGGAGAAGGGGACGACAGAGGACGAGATGGTTGGACAATGTTCTCGAAGAGACCAGCATGAGTTTGACCAAACTGCGGGAGGCAGTGGAAGACAGGAGTGCTTGGCGTGCTCTGGTCCAGGGGGTCACGAAGAGTCGGACATGACTAAACAACAACAACAACAACGGGGGTCATCTAGTCCAACCCCTGCAATGCAGGAATCTTTCACCCAACGTGGGGCTCGAACCCACAACCTTGAGATTAAGTGTCTCATGCTCTATTGACTGAGTCTAGCATCCTGTCCTCACAGTGGCCAAAAGTAGGACCTGAGCGCATCAGCCCTCTCCCGACTTGTGATTCCCAGCAAATAGCATTTATTCAGAGCTATAATGTCTCTGACAGTGGTAGGCTAGTTGCCACTGATAGGCTTCTCCTCTGTGAATTTGTCTATTCTTCTTTTAAAGCCTTCCCTATTGGTGGCCCACATTGCCTCTTGTAGGAGTGAGTTCCGTAGTTTAACGATGCGTTGTGTGAAGAAGAAGGAGTTTCAATAATAATAATAATAATAATTTATTTATACCCCACCCTCCCCGGCCAGAGCTGGGCTCAGGGCAGCTAACACCAGTAAAATTACAATAAAAACATAATGGGGGACACACCCCAATTTAAAATACAGATTAAAATGCAATTTAAAATGCAGCCTCATTTTAAAAGTAGCCCATAGATCAAAACCATAAGAGGAGGGAAACATAAGGGTCAGACTGAGTCCAAACCAAAGGCCAGGTGGAACAGCTCTGTCTTGCATGCCCTGCGGAAAGATGTCAAGTCCCGCAGGGCCCTAGTCTCTTGTGGGAGAGAGTTCCACCAAGTCGGGGCCAGTACTGAAAAGGCCCTGGCCCTAGTTGTCTGTCCTGAACCTTCCAACATTCAGTTTCATGGATGCACCCAACTTCCAACTCTATCATGATCGGCTGCTGAGATCTCAGGATCCCAACACTTGTATGCTCAAGCATTTCTTATTTTCAATATTTGTACGCTGCCCCATAGCATGAAGTTGTCTGGGTGGCTTATAATAAAGAAGTGCAACCACCGCTTAACACATTAAACCGTGCAATTGAAAGCTACATAGTGACAGTAAATACAACACCACACACACACACACACACACACACACACACACACACACACTATTAAAAACAGAAATTTTCAAGACTGCACAATTACATCCTTGCACAGGATTCCATTTGCTGTTTGAATTTCTAGTTCAAAGCCTTTTTTCCTTGTGTCAGTTTAAGTGTTCTGCAGCAAAGTGACAGTGCGAAGGAACAGGTGACATTGGGATAAAACCCTGCATGCAAAAGGCTGGCAGTGGCTACTACTAACCCTGATGGCTGTGTTCTGTCGCAGTGTGCCTCTGCAAACCAGTTGCTGCAAACTGCATGCAGGGATAGTGCTGCTGTGCTCAGGTCCTGTTTGCAGGGTTCCCATGGGCATCTGGTTGGCCACTGTGAGAACAAAATGCTGGACTTGGGGCTCATCCACACTTACATTTGCCACGCATTTCTAGGAGTAGGTCTGGGCTTTCCAGGTACGTGTCCAAATGCTTTTTTGCTTTTTTTGCCTTGGAGTTTCCCCCGCGAAAAAACGCTCTTTACTGCTGAATCGGAGGAAACGGCAGTCTGTGAAAAACCCAAACTGCTGTTTGCTCCGATTCGACATCAAAGAGCAGGCTTTCCTGGGGAAATTGGTGGAGGGGGAAAAAAGCACTTGGAGACAGACTGGGAAGATGCAGTCCTGTGACTCGAAAGCATGGGGCAAAAGGAAAATGTGAATGAGCCCCAGGTGAGCCAGTGGCCTGATCCAGTAGGCTCTTCTTATGTTTGTATGTTATTTTATGACAGCTCTACTCCGTGGCCAGCTGTGAAATCCTGGTGCAGAGCAAACTAGATCCAGAGTAAGGTTCACTTGGAACCAGCACTCAGGTAAGGTGGCACTGTCCCTGGAAGACTCATAGGACTATTGACCTGGATAGCTCAGTTGGTTAGAGCATTGCGCTGTTAATATCAAGGCTGCAAGTTTGATCCCCTTATGGGACAGCTGCATTGAAGGGGGTTGGACTAGATCAGCGGTTCTCAACCTGTGGGTACCCAGATGTTGTTGGACTACAACTCCCATCATCCCTAGCTAGCAAGGCCAGAGCTCAGGGATGATGGGAATTGTAGTCCAACAACATCTGGGGACCCACAGGTGGAGAATCGTTGGACTAGATGGTTCTTGGGGTCCCTTCCAACTCTCCAATTCTATGATTCTATCCCAGGCAGAGCAGAGCGCATTGCTTTTCTTGAGAGTACCATAGTGCTCTTTCTTATTGCATCAAGGATAGGGCAGGAAACGTCTCTAAGGATTGTGCCCCATGTAAACTTGTGTCCGGGGAGGTTACCCTAGGATATTTCAATTCCCACATACCCTTTGGAACTGCATTCAGATTGGGTTTCGATTCCAGGTTTTTTTGGTGGTGTCTGTCACCTATGCAGAATGGTCTCAGAATAGAAACGGTCAACATGGGTAAGTCAACATGATGATTATTATTTTTTTAAACCACTCACCCCAGTTTTCAGCACCACCAAGGCTCCCAGATCAACTTAAACAAAAAAAAATCCAAACGTCATGACACAAAAGGAAAATAAATAGAGATGGAGGAGGAAATAAGCAAACTCAGGCAACATAGTCCAATCCAGTGCATATTTATTTGTTAATAAATCCCACAGCACTCAACAGGATTTGCTTCTAAGTAAGAGCGGGTGGTGCTGTGGGTTAAACCACAAGGCCTAGGACTTGCCGATCAGAAGGTCAGCGGTTCGAATCCCCACGACGGGGTGAGCTCCTGTTGCTCAGTCCCTGCTCCTGCCAACCTAGCAGTTCGAAAGCATGTCAAAGCGCAAGTAGATAAATAGGTACCGCTCTGGCGGGAAGGTAAACGGCGTTTCCGTGCGCTGCTCTGGTTCACCAGAAGTGGTTTAGTCATGCTGGCCACATGACCCAGAAGCTGTACACCGGCTCCCTCGGCCAATAAAGCGAGATGAGCACTGCAACCCCAGAGTCGTTCGCGACTGGACCTAATGGTCAGGGGTCCCTTTACCTTTTAAGAGCCAAATTGTATAATGGCAAAGGCATTATTAAATAGCAGACTTAAAATGGCCTATGCTACTTTCTTTAGAAAAAAACATCCATGGGATTCCATGAGCTGGATTAGGAATGTGGTGTGAGGGTGAGGGAGACTTAACCCTTTCCCCATGCCAATTCCCACACTGAAAATCCCTCCCCCTAGCTGCAATTTGCTGCAAAAAAACAACAACGCGCGTCTGAATTCTCCTGGCAACACGGCTGTACTTCCCTTTCAAAAGAGCTGCTGAACAGCGCAACACTATACTTGTCTGCTGCAAAGTAAGTTGCATTGAGTCCAGTGGGGCTTGCTTTCAGGCAGAAATGGATGAATATTGTCGACTTTAGTCTTGAAGTCCAGTTTGCCACGTTTCTGCTTCAATTTCCTTCATCAAAAAAATCATGAAAAACGAAAGGCATTTTTTGTGTGTGCACATCTCCTAACACATGCAATTTGCAAGCAATCTCCCCTAATAAGGTTCATTTTTTAGAAATACTTCTTTTGTTGTGTGCCGGTTTTGGCAGGGTAACTGCTTCGCAAAATTCAAAGAGCTGTGGATTTCAAAGGGCAGCTGCTTTTTAGCTGACAGATTGCTATGGAAAGGGCAGATCAGGCAGATCCCCCCCATCAATACCTGGTCCCAGGTAAGTGTAAATGCAGACGGGATCTACTTATCCATTTCCCTGCCCCACCCAGCATTTCTGCCCCACTTTTCCATCAATGCAACCACCACTCATTTAGAAGAAGAAAACAAAATAATTACTTGCAGCAATGTTAGAGAAGCAGCACTGCCAGTCAAAAAGCAAGCTGTGATGGGGCCAGACATAGCTCAGTCGGTAGAGCATGAGACTTTTAATCTCAGGGTTCTGCGTTCAAATTCCACGTTGGGCAATAAATCCCAGCATCGCAAGGGGTTGGGCTAGATGACCCTCGTGGCCCCTTCCGACACTGTGCTTCGATGATCTCTCTCTGCCTTTGCAATCAAGCGCACACTCAAGAATTAAGCTATGGGACTCGCTCCATAGAGGAAGCGATGGCCACCAACTTGGCTTTGAAAGAGGATTTGGCAAATTCAAGGAGGAGAGGGCTACCAATGGCTATTAGCCACGTTGCGCTTAGGACTCTCGTATCTATAGAATCATAGAATCATAGAGTTGGAAGAGACCACAAGGGCCATTGAGTCCAACCCCCTGCCAAGCAGGAAGCACCATCAGAGCACTCCTGACATATGGTTGTCAAGCCTCTGCTTAAAGACCTCCAAAGAAGGAGACTCCACCACACTCCTTGGCAGCAAATTCCACTGTCGAACAGCTCTTACTGTCAGGAAGTTCTTCCTAATGTTTAGGTGGAATCTTCTTTCTTGTAGTTTGGATCCATTGCTCCGTGTCCGCTTCTCTGGAGCAGCAGAAAACAACCTTTCTCCCTCCTCTATGTGACATCCTTTTATATATTTGAACATGGCTATCATATCACCCCTTAACCTCCTCTTCTCCAGGCTAAACATGCCCAGCTCCCTTAGCCGTTCCTCATAAGGCATCTATGGGACTGCCTCTCCTGGTATGCCCCGCAGAGGACCTTAAGGTCCACGAATAACCATAGTTTAGAGGTCCCGGGCCCTAAGGAAGTCAGACTATCCTCCACTATGGCCAGGGCCTTCTCAGTGATGGCTCCGACCTGGTGGAATGCTCTGTCCCATGAGACTAGGGCTCTGCAGGATTTAACTTCCTTCCACAGGGCCTGTAAGACAGAGCTATTCCGCCTGGTCTTTCATTTGAATTCAGCCTGATCTTTTATTTCCCTTCTCTTCCCTCCCCATTTTATGAAGATCACCCACTCTGAGACCCCACAGCTAATTCTCCCCTGGCCTCCTCGCTGGCCCAGGTAGGACCAATTCAGCCAGCTAGCCCTGGGGATTAGCTAATTGATTTTTGAATGTTATTGCCCTTCATGTTTTTATACTGTATACCTGAAGGAGCGTCTCCACCTCCATCGTTCTGCCCGGACACTGAGGTCCAGCGCCGAGGGCCTTCTGGCGGTTCCCTCACTATGAGAAGCAAAGTTACAGGGAACTAGCAAGAGGGCCTTCTCAGTAGTGGCACCCGCCCAGTGGAACGCCCTCCCGCCAGATGTCAAATAACTACCAAACTTTTAGAAGACATCTGAAGGCAGCCCTGTTTAGGGAAGCTTTTAATGTTTGATGGGTTATTGTATTTTGGTGTTTTGTTGGAAGCGGCCCAGAGTGGCTGGGGAAACCAAATAAATTATTATTATTATTATTATTATTATTATTATTATTATTATGTATTTTATGCTTTTTTATAATTATGTGATTTAAAGTGTTTTAAATTTGTTGTTGGCCACCCTGAGCTCGGTTTTTGAACCAGGAAGGGTGCGGTAAAATTTATTATTATTATTATTATTATTATTATTATTATTACTATTATTATTCTCTGCCTGTGCAGATGGAGGCAGGAATGTTTCTGAACACCAGTTGCTGGAAACCACAGGAGGGCTCTGGTGCCCAGATCCTGCCTTCTGGTTGACCTTGGGCATCTGACTGGCCACTGTGAGAACAGGATTAGGTGGGCCATTGGCCTCATTCAGCAAACTCTTCTTGTTTTCTTTTCTGTTTTTTTTTTTTAATAATATTCATTAGAATTTCAAAAAAAGAAAATCACATTAATGAGAAAATTAACAATAAAAAGGAAAAATACAAAATACAAAGAAGAAAAAACAGTTAAAAACAATTCCATCTTTTCATCACTTCTTTTACATTTACTTGTTTCCCGGACCTCCTCATACCTCCCTCTTTTGTATTCCAATTCAATTTGTTAATCCAGCAATTCCTTTCCCTCCTTATTAATTTCCCTCCTTTCTTGTTTTCTTAACCCAAGTTTGCTGCAGTGTAGTGTGCAAAACAGCCCCCCCAAGCCATTTAAAAATCCTTTCCCCCCCCCCCAAGCACCTAAACTTCGCCATCATGCCAGAGGAATCTCAACATGCTAAGTGCGAATTCTCATTTTCTTCTGCTTTTATCGGGATGCAAAAGGCAGGCTGGGTCCATAGTGTGTTTTCTAATTGAATTATTGCCGAGTTTGGAGGGGAGGGGATATCAAATGTTCCAGGAGAGGGGGGAGTCTATGCTTGGAATTAAGACCAGACATTTAATAACGCAGAGCTGCCTTGGAACAGCATCTGCCTGGAGAGGTGAGTCACCTGCCCATTGTATCTCCTGGTCTTCCCCTCCTTCCCTCCTCAGTTTGCCGAGTGTTTATTACTCTTTGGTTTTTTGCACATGGCATTCATTTCTGTGAATGAAAACAAATGGCTGCATGTGGGAGTCAGGAGATAAAAGAATAATAAGCGCGTTTTATACGCCACCTTTGGAAAATCAAATAGCAATATTAAAAAAAAAGAGAGGCTTTGAGGCTCTCATCCATCCATCAGGAAATGTAAAATGCCTCAGTCATCAGAGGCACAGACGCAGAAATGAACATCATCTACTGGAGAGATAATACTTGCTTCAAGGAAAGGGGAATATTTGTTTTCTTAAAAAAAAAGAAAAGAAAATACAAAGGAACGAATGTATTATTGCAAACAAGACTGGGATTGATTTCCCCCCCGCCCAACCATCCACATTCTGTCGCATGAAAAGACGGCATTACAAAGATTTAAACCTGAATTGCAAAGTTGAGCTTGTTGACATGGCAAGTCAAATGCCAAGGTCTCATTCGAACATCAACATTCTTTCCCCCCCTCCAAAGAGACGGTTTTGGGAATAATTCCCATCATAAAGGAATATGCGTCTGAAACCTCGCATGGGTTTTCTTCAATAAAAAGCCTTAGCAGGCTCCTGACAGCTTTGGCCCGCAGTTATTTGTTGAAAAATCCACACGGATTTTTGAATTCAGTGTAGCTTTAAAAGAAAACTCCTCAGAACACATTTTTTTACATTAATCCCTTCGTAAATGCAGCAAAATAGAAAACTGGAATTCTAAGTGCGTTTACTCTGACTTAAATTGGGCTTTTTTAAAAAAAAGTAAAGGACCCCTGACAGTTAAGTCCAGTTGCGGACGACTCTGGGGTTGGGGCGCTCATCTCGCTTTATAGGCCGAGGGAGCCGGCGTTTGTCCACAGACAGTTTTCCAGGTCATGTGGCCAGCATGACTCAGCCGCTTCTGGCGCAACGGAACACCAAAACCAGAGCAGCGCACGGAAACGCTGTTTACCTTCCCGCCGGAGCAGTACCTATTTATCTACTTGCACTGGTGTGCTTTCGAACTGCTAGGTTGGCAGGAGCTGGGACTGAACAACGGGGCTCACCCTGTTGCGGGGATTCAAAATTGGGCTTACTCCCAGGTAAATATGCAGAGCATCAGGCTGCGCATATAGTCAACTGCATTTGCTCACATTTCCCTTTTTATCTCAGGCTCTCTCCCCCACCCCATGGTCAAAAGCTAGACAATGTAAACTCTTTGGGACATAGTTTTTCTTTGTTGGTTTTGCTGTGCATGATAGCCAGTAATGGTGTTGTGGCAACAATTCGTTTTTTAAAAACAAGCACATTTTCTTCATTCCTAAAATTCTCTCCTGGAGCAAAGCAGCATTTCTTCCTACTAAATGAAAGAAAAAGAAAGCCTGGTATTAGGTCAAGCGTTTCTTAGAGGGCTGGCAGGCTGGATGTGAGGCTCTCTAAATGCTCAGAGAGTGCTATTTTGATACTGTTATTAATGGCCGGCCAGCCTTTAATGAATAGTGTGACTTTTGCACATAATTTGCTCCACTCTTGCCAACAGTCAAGAGTTCATGGCAAACCATTTGGAAGGTCAGTCCACACAAGCAGGAAACCATTGTACAAGTAGGAATGAAAACAAACCAGTTGACCCTGGCCACTGGTAAGCAAGGAATACTCTGCTTTGTTCACCATCTTTACATGCAAACTGAATTGAATTCCCCACATCCTTTACGTGGCACACTGAGTTCTGCCTGCTCCCTGCCTCCCAGCATCTCCTGCCCTTAGGTAAAAACCTACCTAAGTTTTATTCTGATTAAATTGTGACTAAGTTTATTTCAATGGTTTTACTCACATTAAAGCTAAGTTGAATACTGCTTTTTATCACAAAATATTTAAATGTGTGTTTTATCTCAACATATGCATTTGTATATGTATTTTGCATGTCAATGTCTTTGCAAAAAAAATTTTTTTGAGCTGGGAGCCACATCACAAAATCCAGGGAAGCACAACATTCAAAGGATAATTACGTTTTTGTATATATATCTTTTCCATCAACCGCATCTGAAGATTTTTCAGCCTTTATCACTTAGTCTACATTTCTTAATTTCTCTATTACCTTTAATTGTCCTTAACTAATAACTCTCTTCATAGTCTTCATTGCAATATTTTGCATAATCCTCCTTACAAAACTTCTTGCAGTCCTACTAGTGTAATCTGTTTATTACAATTGCTTTTCAAATAATTCAAATATTTACTCCAGTCCTGTAAGAATCTCTGGTCCCGCAGGTTTTGAATTCTTCCTGTCATCTTATCTAATTCTGCATAGTCCATTAATTTCATTTGCCACTCTTCTTTCATCGGTAATTCTTCTTGTTTCCATTTTTGCCCCAATAATGACAAACCTAGACAGCATCTTAAAAAGCAGAGACATCACCTTGCCAACAAAGGTCTGTATAGTTAAAGCTATGATTTTCCTAGTAGTGATGTATGGAAGTGAGAGCTGGACCATAAAGAAGGCTGATTGCCGAAGAATGGATGCTTTTGAATTCTGGTGCTGGAGGAGACTCTGGAGAGTCCCATGGACTGCAAGAAGATCAAACCTATCCATTCTGAAGGAAATCAGCCCTGAGTGCTCACTGGAAGGACAGATCCTGAA